GGAGGCTGCGGCCCTGGGCTGGGCTTCCCCGCGGACCCGTGAGGCGCTGCCGCCGGCGCATCATTTAAACACACAGCGGTGCCACGTGTTAGCGGGAGCAGGGGAATTGTCGGTGGAAAGGGTTTGTTAAAGCGCTGTTTGGTTGTGTTTCTCGGTTTTGCCTTTCAGATGGATGGAGGAGGCAGATGTCAGCCCTCGGCGGCGCTGGGATTCCCTTAACTGCAGCATCTGACACATCCTCAGCGGTGCGAGCCCACAGACATCAACTGTTCACTGTCAAGACCTTCACATTAAGTCTTTTAGGTGAAGCCCTGTAATTACTCCTCGTATTAATCCTGCCAGTTGGTCACTTTGCACTTTGGAGATGGTGGGTTTGGGCTGTCGGGTCCCCCTGCATCACTATACAGCCTCGCCACGCGTGTTCCATGCATGTCATGTATGGCCATTGCTGCGTCAGGTTTGTGTGTAGCAAAGTTGTCAGTCATGAGGATAAAGTGTTTATGGGTGAATTGTTCCCTTGGGAACAAACAAGCAGAGAAAAGGTGAAACTGTGGTGGCAAAAGGGAGGATCCAGAAACAAAAATAATGGTTAGGGAGTGGTTTGGGAGGTAGGATGAGGAGCAGCAGGGCTGCTACTCAGTGGTGCTGTGTGTACACTACTACTAATGGCAATTCTGTGTAACTAATCAGGGCGTGAAGGACAGAATCATAAATAACAGCAGCCTATTGTTAGAAGTTAATTAGTTCACAAATTAGCTCTTTGATTTATTAGACCGTAAGTAGTGTGCTGATTAGTCAGTAAACAGCCCTGTCTCTTCTATCAGTCACATCTCAAGTCTGCAACCTGGAGTAAAAGGGAGCTGGAGCCAGCCCTGCTGTTGGTCAGGGCAGCTGGATGTTCTTTGCTCTCTCACTTCAACCCATTGGGAAGCTTCGGGCAGGTTTGAACTGGCATCACTTTTCCCATCTTAGAAATGGGGTTCCTTCTTTCTAGATTGGGAAAGACATGGATTTGATGATTGGGCTTTGGTGGATGAGGAATTAGTTGGCTGGTCATATCCAGAGGGTGATGGTCAATAGCTCAATGTCCACATGGAGACTGGCGACAAGTGGTGTCCCTCAGGGGTCCATGTTGGTTTGGTGTTTAGTATCTTCACCAGTGATGTGGGCACTGGGATCAAGCGCCCTCAGCAAGTTTGCTGATGACACCAAGCTGTGTGGTACAGTTGACACTGGAGAGAACGGATGGGATCCAGAGGGACCTGGACAGGCTGGAGAGGTGGGACTGTGCAAGCCTCATGAAGCTCAACAGGGACAAGTGGAAGGTCCTGCACCTGGTTGGGGCAATCCTAAGCCAACTACAGGCTGGAGAAGACTGGATTGAGAGCAGCCGTGGGGAGAAATATTTGGAGGTGTTGGTGGATGAAAAACTTCCCATGACCTGGCAGTGTGCATTTGAGCCCAGAAACCAACCATGTACCTGGCTGCACCCCCAGAGCATGAACAGCAAGCTGAGAGAGGGGATTCCTCCCCTCTACCCTGCTCTGGTGAGACCTTCCTTGCAGTCGTGCCCAGTGCTGGGACCCCAAACATAAGGACATGGACCTGTTGGAGCGAGTATGAGGAGATGACAAAGATCCTTCAAGGGCTGAAGCATCTCTGCTCTGGAGACAGGCTGAAAGAGCTGGGCTTGTTCAGCCTGAAGAAGGCTGTAGGAGACCCCAGCCCCATCCCTGGCAGTGTTCAAGGCCAGGTTGGACACAGGGGCTTG